AAATGTCTTCTGCAGGAAACAAATACATGATTTCTGGATTACTTCAAATCACCTGCCTGTTTGTTAGTCAAAAAGAAATTTGCTACAGGTATCCAGTCAGAACAAGATAAAGGTTTTCTACAAAGAATTAAGAGTTTCCCTGGGCAAAGAGCCCAGTTTTTATTTAACTTCTGAGCATAGTGAGTTATAATCCATCCATTAGCCTTCACTATATTTTAACACTGCCATAAAGAGCTAGGATTCAGTGCTCATTGAGTTTAGGATAAATTAAAAGAATATGTTTCATAGCTAGATATCAAAACATTGCGAACACTGCAACCACAACAGCTGGCGTAGCATAGCACAATCAAATTAGTGAAAGTCCTCGTGGCTGCATTCACACAGTAATTTTAGTACCTCAAGGTATTGCACAAATTTACAAATGGCTTAATCCAGTAAATAGTTATGGATATTGTACGAATCCAGCCTATACATATCAATGCATCTATTAGAGGTCTAAAAGACGATTATTCTGTTTGTTTGAATTTATTAGCTGCCCAATTCCAATACATTCTGAATGTTAAAAAGCTAATTCAGGCATAGATAGTGAAAACAAAATAGTGGGAAGCAGTTTTCTCTGTCCCCAATTTTGTGAAGTGGGTCTCCTCCAAGGTTTCCACCTTATATTTATAAGGGACAGCCTTTATGAAGGGCTATTTAAGAAGGCAGATCTTGAGTAGAGAAATGATGGGGAGAAAAGAAACAAATACCTCCTTTCATGTTATTTTTCTATTTACTTTAAACTGATACCTCTTTGAAATTCTTTTTAAAAAATAGGGGGAAGGCTATTAAAGTTCTAATGGCAGTTTTTATATGCAACCATAAATAGAACAGGAGTTACCCCCTTCACTTATTCTTAGGCAAACAGAATATGGATATGAATATCAGAATTATGCAGATAATCCCATGAGGCATTCCCTCCCACCCATATATACATGCACCCAACTGGTTTAGTACATGCCAAAATTTCAGCCAGTTAACAATTAGTGGTTGTCTGAATCAGCCTTTAAATCCCTGCATTGTATTTCTGCACTTTCATGGGCTTTGACTGCGCAGAAATATCTAATTAAGAACCAAGAAATGGAGCCAAATTTCCTGTACATGGATGGAAACCAGACAGCAGTAAAACTATCACCACTTTGTATTTTTAGCCCTCAAGACTGACAAAGCAAAATCTTGCTTCAGGTTGTGTCTCAAGCCAAACAGTTCTCTGACTGACTGGTTCACACATACACTCAGGGCTTTTCAGGCTCAATGCTGCAGAAAATACGTAAACAAACAGGCAAACAAATCAGTATCAAACTAAAACTTAGATTTTGGATTTTTAATTCTATAACCCACCCCAAATTACTATATGTGAGTTGGGCAGCCATATAAATAATATATAAATTCCAGGCTGATAGCACCAACCTTATCTGAACAGCCATTCTGATCAGTTACCTGTTGAAAGGTTATAGAAGTGTTCTGTTCAACTACTAAGGAGAAGAATTAGCTCCCCTAAGAAAGGGAGCTAATGGGTTGTATTAAAATACTCTATTTTCCTCCAAAATTTAAGCACAGTCTTTTGAGGAAAAGAGTTTGGAGAAGAGTTTCAAGGAGGCAGCCTGTTCACCATCCATGCCCTTCAGGGCTGAAGGGGGGGGGGGGAAGTATAACCTAAAACTAAGCAAAATAACTTGTGATGGCAAATTTAACAGAAAATTAACAGTGCAGGATTTCTAGACTAGACAGTAGAGAGAAATTCTAAGTAAATATTTTAGACAAGTATTTTTTTTAGAAAATAAAATACATATAAAGTAGTCTATAATTATAATGTGGAACGCAGTTATCCAAGTAACATTGAGAACATCACTAAACTAGCCAACAGAACACAGAAATAGAAATACTAGGTGAAAAAAATCCCTAAATACAAGTTCAAACACATGGCCTACCTGCTACAATATTTCTGAAAAGTTCTGTTTCAAAAAAACTGTGCCCGCCTCTTCCTCATTTCTTCTGGACCCCCACCAGATTAGCCACTGCATATTTATTGCACAGTAATTAAATAATCATCTGGAAGTGTCCTCTGGGCACCAGATCCCAGACTGTGAGTCAGCACAGCACCCACTCTTGCCCCACCAGTGGATATTTGAACACCCCCTCCAAGCAGTTCTAAAAGAGTGTGCTGAGTGAGCTCCTTTCTTTTGTCAGCTAACCACCAAAGTAAAAACAGGGTTGCCTGCTGGTTGAATTATTTTTTTAATTAACTGTCCTATTTTAATTGACTAATTGAACCATTAAGAGATTAAAATCTTGCAATTATTATCCCAGATTTCCCCCAGCAGCCTCACAGCTTTTCTCACACCCTGTGAAGCTTGATCATCTGTTTCTGCTTCATGAAACAAAGGGTGGACACCCTGGAAGCTCCTTCAATGTTCTCCCAACAAATATCTTTCCTGTGTTATTCTATATTTAACATAGAGTTAAATAGGATGCATATGTAGGATGAAAATAGGATGCATATGTAGGATGAAAAAGTGTATTTAGCTGAAAGAATATAAAGTTCCTTAACTTTGATATAACCAGGGCAATGCACAATTCCTTCTGAAATTACCTGTGGAACTTCCCGCCCTAACAAATATAGGTTGCACTCCTTTTGAACTAGGATCATGTGACCCTATATTTTGCTATTGGAGTCAAATGGATGGTGATACTTTTGACAGCAATAAGGTCCCTTCCAGTAGCTGGATGAAACCCTCCTATTATCTTAATGATGTCTTGCTGATTTCCCTTTCTTCCTCTGAAGGCAGAGCGCTCATCCTACAAGTCCCACAATTAAAATAAAACCCTATTTCCAACTTGCCCTGTTCTATAATGCAGGATGACAATCAGATCTCACTGCATGATATGGCATTAACATGATATAGGCCAGTGGTTCTCAACCTGTGAATCGGGACCCCATTTGGGGTCAAACGACCATTTCACGGGGGTCGCCAAACAACGCAGTCCGCCATTTTTTTCCCCTTTTCCTTAGCTGTGCTACTCCTTTTTATTCTATTGGCTTTTGAAAGCCAATAGAATAGACTCTCTTGAATAGAGTCTAATTCTATTGGCTTTCAAAAGCCAATAGGAATTGTTCAGGCTGTCTCTGCCCTGCTGAGCCCGCCAAAACTCCCGTTCTGCAAACGGTGCTGCACCAGTTGAGTAGTCCTTGACTTACGACCGGTTGAGTAGTCCTCGACTTACGACCGGTTGGGGGTTGCAGCATTAAAAAGGTTGAGAACCACTGATATAGGCAATCCCTAGCATAAGAATGTCTGACTTATGGACAACTTGTATTTTCAAACAGATTGTCATAAAGCCTACCATATTAAACATTTGAGTTAAATACAATGTTTTATAATAACACACACTTTATGATGCTCACATGAAAACACTACATGGCTTCAATCAGCAGGAGGAAGGATTTTTGCCAGTTTAAGTCAGATCACACTATTGTTAACGCTGCATTGACTATGCAACTTCATATTTGGCTTACATTTTTCTCTTATTTACTCTGGTAATCATGCCTCCAAGATGTAGATCCAATGCAAGCATTGGGGATGCATCAAAGAAAAGGAAAACTAATCATGATTGAAAATAAAGTGAAAATAACAAAGTAATCAGAAGGATATGAAACAGCATCAATCATTAGAAAATTATTAGGCTACGGTGGGTCAACAGTTGGAACAATTTTAAAGGATAAAGTGAAAATAATGGAGCATGTGAAACTATAACTTATAATATATACTTATGAAAACTATAATATATAATATATACTAAGACAAACATTTGATTAACGCTAAATAACCATTCTGATTTACCTACAAATTTTATTTAAAGACAGACTTAGGAACCAGTCTGTCACAACCTGGGAACTGGATGCAGCCATAGCTAGTAAGCCAGTATTGAGAAATCAGAAAGAAGCACTAAAACATGACCAGGGAACAGGGAGACTTGATGTCTTCACTGACAGGTCACAAATTAGCTTAAAAAAATATGAAGGTTGCTGAGTTGGCCATATGCTGATGCCAATTATTTGGTTAATTAGCATCATGCATTATTATAGAACTTTGATAACACAGCCCAAGTCTATGATGAGGAAAGCTAACTAGTCAGAAGCTGCATGATGAAATAGTTCAGATTTATCAATTTCTATACCTATGCTATTGCTATGTCCTACTGATAAAGCCATCAGATTTCCCTGACCTTTATTTGCTATTGAGCAATGCAGATTTAATTCCCAATACATTTCTTAATCACAGTTGCTGGCTATATAAAGGCAAAGATTCTTGTTCATCTTGCTACATCCAAACAATTCTGCTTGTGACCCTAGAATGTTCCCTCCGATCCAAAAATCCAAGATATTGGCATTAAATATAAAGAACAATTTTGAATTTTCCTTTTTCTGTCTTGGCTCCATTGAGAAAGTTTGTCCATCTCATAGCCTTCTCTTTTTGCCCTGTCCTCCAGACACAAAAATGAATTGAAGGAACTACAGAATACTTTCCTGGGTCTAGAGTCCACGTTACATGTTATCATCTGTGTAAAAAATTTCAAGTAATTTACACAATTAAATATAATTATGCAGGTGTTGAAGCTGTCACTGACCAGAGCAAAAAGACTTGTAAGGCTTACAGAGCAATCTGTATGTAGACTTTTCTATAATTGTTGCTAATTTCTATGTAGAATCTCAATAATATATGAAAATATCCATATACAGAAGATTAGTATAATTGATTTAATCAAAGTTCCCGTTCTTTTAAATTTAAAACCCAAATATTGACTCATCATTGCAATTAATGGGTTTCGGTGGATTTCCACTTATCATTTGAAGATTTTTAAACAAACTGGAAAGTCATATATTGAATAAAATCAAAATGCTGTTTTCTAGCAAGTGCCAGCCCTCCTACCACCCTTTTGGAATGAAAAAGCAGTCTTACCTTAAAGGGGCTTTGGGGGTTTTGTTTCCAGGTACTTGTTACTGAGAGGAAAATCAGGGAGGTTTACACCTAATATCCAAGTCACTGCAACTGCATGCAGTTTTTGTTCACATTTCCAATCCCTTCCTTCTCTCTTCCCAGCACTGCCTCACTCTGGTTGTGCCAAAAAAACTGTGTGACTTGTTTTGACTTGAGTCAGAGAAGCAGGGCAGGTGAGCAATACCTTTTCAGCACAAGAGAATCAGTGGAGCCAAATCCTTCCAGGCACAAAAGCACAAGCTGACACATAACACCAGAAGGGAGGGACTAGATTAAACATCTCTTGCAAAAGTTAGCAAGGAATCCCCCAGTCCTGAATAAGCAGGGAAAGCTGCAATAACCTACTGCAGTCAGTTCTAAGTCCACATGCATGAAAATATATTTTCTGCCTTTGTAACTTACTTGCCAGAGAAACACGCTTTGAGCACTTTCTCTGGTGATCAGCAAAAAGACTTCATTAGCATGTAAATACTACCAGACTATTCCTATAGTTCTGTAATCCAATCAATGCGAAGATTGTTTTTCCTAATGCTGTTTTCAATAGAATACATGTTGGGCTCAAAAACATAATACAATGAGACAACTAATTGATAAAAAAGAAGAAGAAAACAGCTTTAAGAGGTGGTCTGCTGTACTGTAGTAGAAAAACAGAGGGGGGAAGTGTTTAACCCTTTGCTCACAAATAATTTTTAGCCCCACAGAGTTCCAGATGAGTTTCTCTAAAAAGAAACTTAAAACTTAAAAGAGCACTGAATAATGGAAGCATCAAGGAGCATTGCATTTTAAAGCTGCTTTTCCTATAAAAGTAACAGTTGGCAAATGAATTGAAGGAGCACTTTAAGTATTGTAGTGTTTTAACTTTTATAAGCCACTCATGAAATCAGAAGTTTATCCAGGTGGTTTGTAAACAAAAATGTGCAATTCGAGTATTTTTAAAAGTATGATATTAAAGTGCAAAGTGTATCTGTTATTAATGTTTAAATCACAATTTTTCTCAAATAGAGAACTAACAGAGGTGGGAGCCTTGTCTTCTTTCAATTATCACTTCTCTATATACCACAGTGGAAGAAAAGCGGCACTTAAAATATTTACTGATGAGGGATGATATAGTAACCTAATGTACACAGGTCCAGTTGGGAATGAAAGAAAAACATTAATTCAAAAGCAGGTTAGCCGTTTCATGCATTCAAAATATTTGCCATTACAGAGATAAAGGTGTGGGGCTAAAGTCAGGCATATAATCACCTTTAATTCATGCCCTGCAATAAACATACAAGATGAACTAGTTTTCATGTGGGTGGCTACTGTTATCTAAGCTCTGTGGCCTTGCAGATAGTAATGACTCAAAGCAATACTGCCTTTGCTTCAACTTTCTGAAGATAAAACATACAGAATGCCCAATTCACCTAGAAGGCACCAGGCTGGGGAGGAAAGAGGGACAAATCCTGTCACAGAAAGATAAATCCATCCATTTGGCATCCCTTGAGTCTGCCACTATCAGCATTTGTGTCACAGGATAGAAAAACTGTCTCCAAGCATGATCATTAAACAATACAATAGCTTCATCCAGGCTGAGGGCCACACAGAGCATTTGACAACATTCTAGAAAATAGCTGTTAGGGATAAACAAATCCAACATTTGTTTCCCTTTAATTAAAAGTAAAAATATATGATTACATTCCAGTGAATCATATATGTATATGTATGTGTATGTGTGTGTACTGTATAGATACTGTACAGATATAGGTACCAAAATGCATTTTAAATTCTAGGTACCAAAATGCATTTTAAAAAATCAGGTTTGGCTTATCCATAGATGGGCTTAATTATGAGTGTACAGATAGTCCTCACTTAATGACTGGCTGTTTAATGACTGTTCAAAGTTACAATGGGCTCAGAAAGTCTGCTTTACAGCCTCTAAAGCACTTTCAACTATCATAAAGCATCGCACCGCCCCTTTCACATGAACGCATTTCAAGCACTGAGCAACTGGCTTGCATTTATAACCAGTTGCCCATTGTCTCACTATCATGTGACCACAATTTGTGATGCCTTTTGCCATTTTCCACAGAAAACCGCAAAAGACAGCCATATTGGATTCACTTCATGACTATCAGGTTCACTTAATAACAATTGTAAAATTGACCAATAAGTCATGTAGAATCACACTGCAACGCACTTAAAAGCCACCCCAATTTGTATCCAAAATTCCAGGTTCAGTTGTGGTCATAAATCAAGGATTGCCTGCATACAGTGATACTTTTTTTAAAATACCCTCATTTCCAATAGGCCCTTGTGTATAAACCCATATGTAGATAAGTAGTCCCTCAGATTTTTAATTAAAGATCATGGGTTAAAATACTATGGATTAAAATACTACTACTAAAATACAGAAATACTATATTGATACAGTTTTACTTGGTCCAATAAGTATCATTATAGAAACTTAGAAAATCCGGGGGGGGGGGAGAGAGGGGTTCTTTATGGTTCTTTTTACTGTTTCTTTCTTCTATTTCCACTGGAAACAGCATAAACGAGAATATTAACAATACAAATAAAGAGCCAGCTTGGTGTGGTGGTTAAAGTGCTAGTCAGGAGACCATGTGTTCTAGTCCTGGCTTAGGCATGAAAGCCAGCCAGGTGATTTTGATCCAGTCACTCTTTCTCAGCCCAACCAACTTCACAGGGTTGTTATTGGGGGAAACAGGGGGAGGAAGGAGTATTATGTGTGTTTGCCACCTTGAGTTACTTATAAATTAATAAAGGAGGGCCATAAATCAAGTCAAATAATAAATATTTGAAACAATTACAGCAGCATGTGTTTGCTATTTTATCCTTTAAAAAAAAACCTAAGAAATACTGCAGCTTAAGTTCTTTAGTATCCTACATTTCAGTCACTGATGCAAACCAGTTAGGAGGTGGTGGGATTGCCAGCAGCTATCCTGTATGGGAAATCACTAAACTGACTGATAACTGATGTTTCTTAGTGAAATATCCTCAGGTAAAGTTCTACCCACCCAAATTGGATCCTGGAAGGAATATAAAAGGACTATTTGTTCCAGCTGAACCTGCCTGGAATAAGAAAAATCTGCAGTGTTTCTGCATCTTTTGTTGTTCTTCAGTTTTAACATTTATTTATTTATTTGTTTATTTGTTTGTTTATTTATTTATGAGACTTATATACCGCTTTAAGTGCAAGCACTCTCTAAGCGGTGTACACCAGTAAGCAATGTATGTATGTATGTATGTATGTATGTATGTATGTATGTATGTATATATATATATATATATATATATATATATATATATATATATATATATATTTACATTGCCCCCAACAATCTGGGTCCTCATTTTACCTACCCCGGAAGGATGGAAGGCTGAGTCAACCTTGAGCCGGTGAGATTTGACTTGCTCATTAGCCCCACTTCTTGGCTTGTGCTTCAATCCCAATTTGATTTTTGGTTTAATTTCTGGTTTACCTGATTTGTCTATTCAATTTTACTCTTCAATTATTCTTACTCATAAAATGAGTCCCAGCTCACCTGAGTCTGTTGCCTATAACTGAGCTCTTTTCCTGATTTCCAGGAAAATCTGGAGTGTGCACCTAAAGGTCAGAATGGACCCTTTACGTGTTATTGAGCAAATTGTGACCCTCAGCCTTGTTTCACAGAGTAAAAAAGTCTGTCTAATGATGTTGTCCAAGGGATAAATAAAATGAGGATTGCAAAATGAATACATTATATAAATTTAAGCGTGAGTACCAATCATAAAGGCTCCTGTCCTGATTGGTCTACTTTGATCAAATAATTTGATATCAAACAAGTACAGCTCCACACATGCACAGCAGTGCAAATCTTAAGCCTGGGAACTTTACTCCTCTGGTTTCGCTCTGTGTTTCATATAGCCGAAGAAAATTTAAATGTGATGTTTATTCAAATAAACAAGCCCTGGGGGGATTATTTACCATAGATCAAGATAAAGTACCAAAGCATATCTGTTGCAATTTTTCCTTCAACTTTGACCTCCATAGAATTTGACCAATGATCAAGCTTATCAGCAAACTATACTACAGCTGTAGGAGAAGCCATATCATTGAGGAAGCTGGCTTTCTCAGGGTAACAGGGTAACTGAACTGATATCTGAGAAGTCTGTACATCATAGACACAAAGAACCTACCCCATGAGAAATGTGGAGAAAGCAACAAACAGATTTAAGCCAAGGAAGACAGCAGCACCGTTTCTTGGTGGAATGACTTATTCAGTATTCTGCGTCTCCTGAATGGGACTGTATAGTAGTCCTTGTTTAGTGATCACAATTTAGACTAGCAACTTGGTCATGAAATGAAGTGGTTGCTAAGTGAAACCACAACTGTGCTTATGATCTTCAGCTTTCCTTTGCTTTACAAACCTGTGGTAGTAAATGCAGGGATTGGTTGTAAAGTTTTTATTTTATTTTATTCATCACCTTTCTATACTGCCCAGCTCACTGAAGGGACTTGGGCAGTTTACAATAAGAACATGTCACAAATTATAAAAACATAAATAAAAACGAAGTTAAAAAACAGAATTAAAATATAGGGTTACAGTATGAAAAGTTAAAAAGCTAAAAAAATATATGGAGAGAACACCCTCACAACACCATCCATCCCCAGGGTTGCCTAAAACTTTTTAATTGGCAGAGCCAGGACTTGACGCTCTTTCTGAAGGCCAGAAGAATGGGGGCCCACCTCACCTTTAGGGTAAGGTGTTTCAAAGGTTGGGGTCAGTGGCAGAGACGGCTTTCTTCCTAGATTTTGCCAGACAAAATTACTTTTATATCACGATTGGAACTGTGAGTAGTCATTTGATGAGGCAGTCGCTAAACAAAGGAATACCTGTATTATATTCTGAATGAGCAGGTGTTTTGCTTGGAAGGATTTCTGGATCAAACTGGATCAAATGTAGCTAAGTGTAGCTTTGCAGTTTTAATGATACAACATGCTAACTGCACTCTTTCCAGGAAAAGGAAAGATCCAAACATACGTAGCACGATGTATTTTGCATGGGTTTGTCTTTGAAAATTGTCCAAAATTTCTACAGTTCAAAATGCAAAAGCTATACCCGATAAATATAGCATGAGTCTCTAATAGCATTATTATATCATCTCTACAAATTTCCTATTTTCTTCCAACCATAATTCAAAATCCCACCTAGTCTGGAGCATTATTATCTAAAATACTGCTACTGAAAACCAAGAACAAAAAT